TAAGAAGAGCAAGAACTTGCTGTGGTTGAATCTTTACATGAATGACATTGGTGATGAGGTATGAATAATTAGCCACTGTTATGTAAATTTTTTTTTCTTGGTACAGCACTCAATCTTTTCAAACACAATGATTAAAGTTAATTAAGTACCTTAGTGATAATTCGATATTAACCAAAATAGCTCACTATTATTGTGCTGGCATATGGTGCGTGCTACTGAAGATGGAAGAAGGCTAATGCTCTTGGCTTTTTTTGTAATTTGGTTGTTATAGTTATTTAGCCAAACCTTGGCCTTAACTCTTTCATTGGTCTATGTTTTTGAAATTTTGTCAGGGTGCTGAAAGATTTGCTGATGCTTTGAAAGAAAACAGGACGATAACAACCATAGATCTGGTGAGAAGAGATATCTTGTATTGCTAGCAACCTTATTCAAAGCTTTAGTTAGTTTTCCAAATACACCATTTTTGAGGATGCTGGGTGATTTATCATGGTGCAGGGTGGAAATAATATACGTGCTAAGGGGGTTTCTGAAATAGCTCAAGCTTTGAAAGATAATCCTGTCATTACAACTGTATGTCATTTAGTTATCATGATACTCTCATTTTGCTTTCTTTCTATCCTCAGTGTGATATAAAAATCTCAATTCTCCCCCCCACCCCTCAGTTGGAACTTGGCTATAATCCCATTGGGCCAGATGGAGCAAAAGCTTTGTGTGAAGTTCTAAAGTTCCATGGAAATGTAAAAACCCTTAAGCTTGGTTGGTGTCAGGTAAATCCTTGTACGTAAACCACTGTGATATCCTAGTCTTCTAGTATCTTCTGACAATGTGACATGGAATCTCTTGCAGATAGGAGCCAAGGGGGCAGAGTTCATTGCAGATATGTTGAGATACAATAGTACCCTTTCAATTCTAGATTTGAGGGCAAATGGGCTCAGAGATGAAGTGCGTACATCTAGATAACAATATCTTTGTTGTTTTTCTTGATCATAATTGTCATTGATCTTTTCTCCTTTTCTTTCTCACTTTATACGTATGTTATGTGCAGGGTGCAAGATGTCTGGCTCGCAGCTTGAAAGTGGTTAATGAATCTTTAACATCACTCGACCTGGGATTCAATGAAATTAGGGTATCAGATTTCAATCTTCTTGAGTATCTCTTTAACCAGACCCAGCTTGTTGCATGTTTACCTTTTTTTTTCCTTTTTATCGCACAGGACGATGGTGCTTTTGCCATTGCCCAAGCATTGAAGGCAAATGAAGATGTCACAGTCACTTCTCTTAACCTTGCCAGTAACTTTCTTACAAAATTTGGTCAGGTATTAATGCCTTTTCACTTCATAGTTTGACATTTTTTTCTTCCTCTACAAGCATTTCTACCTTAGTATATTCTTGGCTTATTCTTTCTGATTAGTTAGTTTATTTTATAATCTATTTATTATATTTTGTACAGACCGCACTGACAGATGCAAGAGACCATGTGTATGAGATGACTGAAAAGGAAGTAAATATCTTCTTCTAGGAGACTTATTTAACAGGTGACAATTGTTTTTTTGGTGATAAATTAGCAGAGGGCATTTTTTGGTTTATTCTTCCTCCAACGGTTGTTGATAAGAAGTCAAACTTTAAGTTAAACTTTTGAGCAAAACACAGCTGTTGAGGAGCGTGTGGAAATTTTGACATTAAGAGATTGTAGTTAGCTTCATCAGCGAGATATTCTGCTCACTAAATTTATAGTCCCGAAGGTGTCTTTGCAAGCTTTCTCAGTTTAGTCGATCTATTATTGTTGAAGAATTTTGTAAATCTATGGATTACGGTAATAAAAGGTATTTGATACTTAAATGACATTGCTGATTTAAAGGTTTTAAGTTCTCTTGTTTGTTGGTAAATAATTGAGTTTGTATTTTCAGTTTATAGTATTGGAGTTATCACTTATCAGTCTTCCTTTACCTTACGGGGGAGATACATTAAAGATAATATCAAAGGTTATGAATCTTTGTTTGAGAATTGGGATGAAGTTCTATATGAAGCGTAGAAGTTACAATTCCTCTAAAATTCTTAGGTTTTGTATTTTCATCTGGATAACATGGGTATTTCAGGCAATGCCTTGGTGCTGGTACAAGTGGTTAAGGAATCATTTGATCACTCTTAACGTTATTTTTTATTTTTTTTGAACGGGTTACATTTTGGGAGGAGGGATTCAAACTCCAATCCTTGAATTAGAAATACACTTTATTATGAGATATATAACTATAGAGTCATGAAATCTAGATGCAAGCACTCTAATGTTATTTGGAAAAGGCAGTGTAAGACAAAAGCAATAATATGCAATAACAAGCCCCCCAACTGCTGAAACAAAACGCCGGCTTAATCTTTCGTCATATTGATTCAAACATGTTTTTAGAAGATTGAAAAACGGAAAGAGGTAGACGTTCTGCGTGTTTTATAATTGGACTTTGACTGGAAAGGAAGCCAGCCCAAGGTCTAAATATTACAACTAGTTTATTAACTATTAACGTTTTACCTATTTTATCTATTAATTATTTTTTATATCTAAGTAATCTATTAACTCTTAAAATTGTATCATATTGGTCTAATCCGTTAAAGTTCTTTTATGGGACTAACGGTAATCCACACTGGCACCTGTGTGGCAACCACATAGATGTCACGTGGTCAAACAATCAATGTTTTAGAAATGAGCTTCTAATTTTATTCAATTAAATTTCCAAACAAATTTTTAGGTCTTTCTAGTATTGGTTTAAATTTTTTTTCAATTCCAATTTTATTTTATTTTATAAGAATCAGTTTCAAATTTATTAATTTAATTCAATTAAAAAATTATTAGTTTAATTAAATTAGTTAAAAAGTCAGACTAATAATAAATAAATAAAATTTAATTTTTATTTTAAAAAAAGAGATTTGATTAAAAGTTAAATGTGACTCACTTTTTACCATGATTTAAGTTTAATTGATAAAAAATTAATTTTAATAATTAGAAGTTTATATTGTATAATAGGAAAACAATTTAAAGACAACCCCTTTTACTATGTTTTGTACAACTTTATGTATCACTTAAATAATTAGTTTATTTATTTATTTATTTGAGACTTGTTTGGTGTGTTAACTTATTTAATAATATGTGAAAATTATATAAAAAGATAATATAAAAAAATTATCCCTATATCACTATCCTTTATAATATTAATTTGGTTAACCATGTGGTGTCTACGTGGCAGCTAATTTGGGACCACATGGGTGCAATTTGAATTTCCGTTAGTTTTATAGACGGAGCACTAATGGACTAGACAAATATTATATAATTTAAAAATTAATAGATTAGTTAGATACAAAATATAGTTAATAGACAAAATAAATAAAAAGAAAATAGTTAATAGACTATTTATTAAATTTAGC